TCACCCCCACCCTTAATTTCTGAAACTGCAGTGGACACGTTGCCATCCAGAGATCCTGCGTGAAGAAACAAGGTTTCTTCGTTCCACCGGCAGGGCTGAAAAGAATTCAGTGCCCAAGGGAAGTCCAGCAGAGTCGCTTCGGAAGATGTGCAACCACAGACTATTGCTGATACAGCATCCTCTTCCTGGGTTCAAATTTCATTTTAAATCAAGGCCTCGGAAACAGCATTTTATTTTTTTGTTTTTTGTAAAAGGGTTCCCCTCTGTACATTTTCACTTTTTGCAGCTGTAAATAAACTGGAATTCTTAATGTCTCATCCTGTCTTATTCAGAGCAGACACTTAGAAGGTTGCTTTAAGGTAGTGTTTCTCAACCGTGGCAAATTTTAAGATAGGTCGACTTCGACTCCCTAGTATTCCCTAGCCAGCATGATTTAAGAAGAGTGGACCTCAACTCCATGCTGGCTGGGGAATTCTGGGAGTTGAAGTCCACCCATCTTAAAAATGGCCAAAGTTGACACTGCCTTAAGGAAAGATCTGTCTCAGCAGATATTAATAGTCAACCATACCTAGACTCAGAGCCAGCCAGCTCTAATTCCTATCTGGATGGGAGGCCAAGAAATCCTAGAACAAGGGTGTCAAACTGGTGGTTCATGGGCTGGATGTGTCACAAGCAGGCCATGCCCACCCCAGCTCCACGAAGGAAAAAAAGCATCACGTGAACAAAATGATGCGGCAAGTTTGATATCCTGTGTCCTAGAAGGAATTACAAGTAGTCCTCTACTTACAACAGTTCAAAGTTACAGCAGCCCTAGAAAAAAAGTGACATATGACCATTCTTCACTTTTACTACTCTTGCAGCATCCCCAAGTTCCTATTTATGACGGTTGCAGTGTCCAAGGGTCATGCGAGCTCCCTTTCCGATCTTCTGACAAGCAAAATTGATGGGGAAGCCAAATTTACTTAACAACCTTATTTCTCACTTAACAACAGCTGTGATTCACTTACCAATTGTGGTAAGCAAGGTCATTAAAACAGGGCAAACTCGCTTAACTGTCTCACTTACAAACAAGAATTTTGGGCTCAGTTGTTGTAAGTAGAGGACTGCCTATAATGCAATCCATTTTAGACGAACCCACTGGACCTTCCTAGAAGGCTCCAGCCCCATTTGCACTACTCAGGTGATCCTGAGGACACAAGTAGCCTCAACAGCTCTCTAAAAAGACGCAAATGACCAGCTGTCTGCAAGGAATATAAATCCTTCCATTCCCCATCCTCCAGTCAGAGCTGAAGAAGCTTCTTGGATGAGAAGCGAAACTTCTTCAAAGAAAAAGTCCAGTTATCTCCTGAAAAAGTCCACAATCGTGCCCAATAGGTAATTCTGGACTAAGCCAGAATTACCCATTGGGTAAGAATAGGTTTCCCAAGCACATTTTTGCAATAGCAGATCCTGCCACATCTGCTATTCTTTATTTAAAAGCCTCTGTCCATCAACCATGTCTTGAGTTCTTCCTCAAAATAGCCCTTGACACGGATACTACAGGTGTTTTCATTGACTTGGGTTGCTGGCGTTCGTCCGGACAATTCCGTAAGGAAAGCTTTCACGTCATTCTCTAGGGCCTGGAGAAAGAAAAATGTAAATTTACAGGTTACTCCCTGTAAATATTTATTTGCTTGGTTTCTATAGCAGCCGGAAGCCTACCAATATCCAGTGTAGGGCCTACACTGGTCTGAAAAGCTCCCCCTGGGCAGTGCCAATTAGCATAGAGACCACTGTGCTCTGAACCAACTGCAGCCTGCAAGCAATCGCCCAAACAGCCAGGTAGAACGGGAATCCCCAACCCCTGAGGCTGTGGCCCACTACTGGACAGTGGCCTGTTTGAAACGGGCTGAGCAAGCGGTGGGCCTTTGCATTCACGTGCGCAGCTCCACTCGCGCAACCAGAGCGTGCTTCTGCTCAGTTCATGATTGTCCCAAAAGTGCTTTTTCAAAAGGAAACTGAACTTTGTTTGTTTCTCTTTGAAGACATTTCGCCTCTCATCCAAGAACCTTCATCAGAACTAAAAAAAAAAAGCTGCTTGGATGAGAAGCAAAACATCTTCAAAGAAAAAAAAAAGGAAGTCCAGTTGGCTTTTGAAAAAACACCTTTGGGATAACCATTATCTGGATGACTGAGAATCTGTAGAGAGATTGGAAGAATTAAAATCAACTCACAGTGTCAAGAGCTCTTACACCAGCCTATAGAGAAAGCTATAACCTACCCAGATATCGCCTTCAATTTTCCTGATAATAGTCATCTTTCTGGATCCGTGGTGAGAAGTATCTTTGTACACAGGTACATTTTGCATGCGTGACCGTCGTACAAAATAGGAAAGATCAGGAGGAGGATCTGTGAAAGAATTGGAGACCTAAAATAAATATGACTATATTGTCTTTTTATACAAAAAGTAATTTATAACAAAATCTGGCCAGGGGAGATCTACCTGCCTCTTGCTGAACTATTAATTTTGCACAGGCTTCATTTAAGAAATGTATTTAAAATGTAAAATGTGAACTTATAACAGTGGTATGAGTCAGAAGAACTGAGTTATAAGAAGCTGTTTTTTAAAATTTTATAATGAATGCAGTTATTTTACCAAGATGATCTAATTTTGCTCACTTTTCCATTCAGGGGAGACACTAGAACACTTTTTCAAATCTTATATATTAAAAAAATCAAATTTGGAAATATTTTGCCCCATTTTACCTTGTGGTGGCCTCCATCCAGAAGGTGTAGGATACTGGTCTTGTTTTGAAGGTATGGGTACAGTGGTAGGTGGTATCAGCCTCTCCACAAATTTATATTCTTCAGTAGACTCGATAATCCCTGGGTACATCAGGTCTGCAGAATTAGACTTACCTGAAACATGTCTCTGAAACAGAAAGATGAGAAAGCAGTGAGCTTTTTTGCCTACAAAGTTTGTTTGTAATTGCTGCACCCAATTTAATAGAAGTTGAAATACAAATACAAAACATTTTTCTGCTGGCCTGGAAGTCCTGTGACTGGAATGCTAGGAGGACAGGATTCAACAGTCAGAAGACAAAAACAGAATGGTGGCTGAACATGATGGAAGTGACAGTCAAAAGTGAAAATCACTGATGGGCCCCAGGAATAAAGATGGGAAGGAAGGCATGGAAAAAAAACCTGGGAAAATTGGGGGAAAAATAGGGGTGGGGTTTCATTTTTTTCCCAGGCCTTTCCATTTCTATCCCAGGAAGCAAGAGAGGATGGGAGATGCATGTTAGCAGAAGACATAAAACTTAAATAGAAAGGCTAGGTGACAAAATCGAAATGTAATGAATTGCACCATCCCATAAAGAACATTTCTAAGGAGCACAGAGACAAAAAAAGACGTTTTTGCATTTTGGAACTGGGGAGAAATTTATGGGCAAAATGCAGGGAGTTAAGCACCCACTTCCTCTTTAAAAAGAGCCAGTTTGATATAATGGTTAAGATGCTGGCCTACAAACCAGGAGATGGTGAGTTCTAGTTCTGCCTTAGCCATGAAAGCCAGCCAGGTGACTTTGGGCCAGTCTCTTTCTTTGTTTCTCTCTCAGCCCAACCCTTCTCACAGGGTTGTTATTGGGGGGAAAATAGAAGGAAAGAGCATCAGGTATGTTCGCCACCTTGAGTTATTTCCAAAGTAAGATAAAAATCTTAGAAATAAAAGTGTCAAACCTCCTCTTAAGAGACTCAGCCAGTTGTAATATTACCTTAAATGGTAATATCAGAATAGAATAGATTTTTTTATTGGCCAAGTGTGATTGGACACGGAATCTGTCTTGGTGCAAATGCTCTCAGAGTATACATAAAAGAAAAGATACATTCATCAAGAATCATAAGGGACAACACAATGATAGTCATAGGGTACAATAAGCAATCAAATCATACTAGAAAACAGTCAATAAAAATGTTAGGATACAAGAGACAAAGTCACAGTCATACAGTCACAAGTGGGAGGGGATGGGCAATAAGGAGTGATAAGATGAATAGTAATAGAGGTGCAGACTTTGTAAATAGTTGGACAGTGTTGAGGGAATTATTTGTTTAGCAGGGTGATTGTAAGCAAAATATAGATAATACACTGTTCACCTATTTATTTATTTATTTATTATATTATTATTATTATTATTATTATTATTATTATTATTATTATTATTATTATTATTATTATTATTATTATTAATCACACAGTCAGCCACGTGTTCAGACCATCTAGTCCTTATCAAGGATCTGAGGTAGGCAAATCTGGATGTTTGATGGTGTTACAGATATGATGATGATGTCTGTTTGTATCAAAATGTATTGTACCCAGAGGCCACACTGTTCATGTACTGATATTAATGTATATTTAAAAATAAAAATTCAATAAAGCTAAAATATAGTTCACCAAGCACTTACGGATGTTAAAGAAAAAAATTCACAAATAAAAATATTAAATAAACAGAGAGAAAATAAGCCTGCAGTGCTTGTACCCGTCATATAATAGAACTGGATTCCAAGCAGGGGTACCATATCTAGGCTGCAAAAACCCGGACAGCCACTAGATAGCAAAAATCTGCTCCATTTGCCTCTCTGAGGGTACCCGGTGCACAGAGACCCTCTCGAAAAGGTTGCTCCAACCGCGCCAGCCCAGCCCGAAAAGCTCCCCTCGGAGCCCTTAGAGTCCCCTCCAGCTCTGTCCCTACCAGTAAGGCAGCCTGGCCGGGCCGCCTCGTCCGCTCGGCCGCCCGCAGCACCAACAGCGACTTCCTCAGCCCGAGAGCCGCGAAAACTGAGGGAAAGGCCGCCATCTTGCCTCGGAGGCGCGCGTGGATGACGATAAGGCGCCCGGGAGGGACGTCACGCACAAGCCACGCAGCGGGAAGAGCGAAAGAGGGAAGCAAGAGAACGCCGCGGCGCGGTCCTCTTCCCGCAGTACGCCTGCGCTTCTTGTGGCCCCGCCCCTTCCGTCAGTCTTTCCTTTTCATCGTCGGCGTGAGGCGGCGGCGTTTTTCCTTCTCTCCGACCTCCATCTTGGCTCGGCGTGAGGCGGGTGAGGGGCGCAAACTTTCCGTATTATGGGCTGGACAGCTTCATTTATTGGAGGGGCGGAGGGACAGAAATCAACGTCCTCTCCCTTTCGAGGCCTTAAACTCCCATCATCCGCGGCCAAATCCTCCCCAAGGGACTTCCCAGGCGCCTCTCCTTCCCTCTCGCTCTCCCGCCCCTCGAGTCTTTCCAGGTTCACCGGCGCGGCCCCGTCTCCCTTGCCTTGTCCCTGCGGCTCCCCCGGTGCTTTGGAGTACCACGCCCATGCTCCCCAGCCGTGTCTGAAACTGAAGGGGGTGGGTGGAAACAGGTAGTCCTCGAGTTACGACCACAATTGGGTCCCAAATTTCTGTTAAATGAGACGTGAGTTTTGCCCCATTTACGACCTTTCTTGCCACAGCTGTTAAGTGAGTCACTGCAGCTGATAAGATAGTAACTTGGTTGTTAAGTGAATCTGGCTTCCCCTATTGACTTTGCTTGTCAGAAGGTCGCAAAAGGGGATCATGTGACCCCGGGACACAGCAATGGTCATAAATATGAATCATACTTTGCCAAGTATCTGAATGTTTATCATATGACCATGGGGATGCTGTAATGGTCATAATATGAAAAATGATCATGTCATTTTTTTCAATGCCGTTGTATCCTCAAACGGTCACTAAACAAACTCTTGTAAGTCGAGGACTACTGTAAATACCTAGTATTTACTCTAATTGCAATGATAGAAGGCAATTCATACACACATCAATCCATCAGAATACAGCTGGAAGGGACCTTGGAGGTCTTCTAGTCCAGCTCCCTACTCAAACGACTTGTTTGAAATTACAACTGCATTGAAAAAAAGGGACTTGCGGCTGATCCTCACCTTTATGACCATCGCACCATAACCCCCATGGTCACATGATCAGTGCCTGAATTTTGATCACGTGACCATGGGGAGGCTACAATGGTCGTAAGGGTGAAAAACAGTTGCAAGTCCCTTTTGTGACTTTGACTAAACGACTTGTTGCAAGTCGAGGACTATGTGTGTTTCGGACTCTGAATTTTGATCATCTGACTGTGAGGATACTGCAACGGTCCTAAGTGTGAAAAATGGTCCTAAGTCATTTTTTTCAGTGCCATTGTAACTTTGAACGATCACTAAATGAACGGTTGTAATTTGAGGACTACCTGTAGGTAAGGAAAAAAGACTGTGACAAGTGTGTAAGGCAGGGGTCCTCAAACTTGGCCACTTTAAGACTTGTGGACTTCAACTCCCAGAATTCCCCAGCAAAGCTGGCTGAGGAATTCTGGGAGTTGAAGTCCACAAGTCTTAAAGTGGCCAAGTATGAGCACCCCTGGTGTAAGGGGATTTGATGGAAGAGACGGGTAAAAAAAGAACCTGGAATTGTGGTGCTGGAGGCAGGCCTGAGGTTAGCCCTTTGCTGCTGGGTTCCTCAATCTTAGTGATTTTAAGATGGGTGGACTTCAACTCCCAGAATTCCCTACCCAGCATGGTTTAAGGTGGGATGGACCTCAACACCATGCTGGGTGGGGAATTCTGGGAGTTGAAGTCAGTGGCGGTACTCGATCGGTTCTGATGAGCCGGTAGGAGCGATGAGTAGACCAAACCGGTTCTCTCCACTCCTCTGTTGTTAGACCCACCTGCCTGCCTGGGCTCCCATACTCACTTTTATCTGCTGAATTTGAAGCGCAGCTGAAGCGACCAGGATCGTGCAGGCTTGCAGGAGGTGAGTTAGAACGCCTCTGCGCCTGCTCAAAGTGCGTGTTTGGCATGCAAGTGCACGCAGTGTGTGCACACGTGCAAAGCGCACCCCCAAGCCACACCCACCAAATCGGTGGCAACAATATTTGAATCCCACCACTGGGTGAAGTCCACCCGTCTTGATGTATGCTGGCTGGGGAATTCTGGGAGTTGAAGTCCCCTATCTTATTGCACACTTGAGAAACACTGCAGCACAGGTAGTCCTCAATGTATGACCATAATTGACCCCAAAGTATCCGTTGCTAAGCAAGACAGTTATGTGAATTTTGCCTTTTTCTTGCCACAATTGTTAAAGTGAATCTCTGCAGTTGTTAAGTGAATCCGGCTTCCCCATTGGCTTTGCTTGTCAAAGGTACCACATGACCCCAGGACACTGCAACCGTCATAAATATGAGACAGTTGTCAAGCATCTTGAGTTTTGATTGCGTGACCATGGAGATGCTGCAATGGTCCTAAATGTGAAAATTGGCTATAGGTCACTTTTTCAGTGCTGTTGTAACTTCAGACGGTCAGTAAATGAACTGTTGTAAGTCAAGGACTACCTGTGTGCAGAAGACCAATCCAACCATCTTAGATGGCTGGCTAACCTTCCTGTGCTTAAGAACATCCAACAATGAAAACCCACAACCTCCAGGGATGTTCTCTTCCACTGCTGGACAGATCTTGCTCTGAGAAATGTTTCATTTCAAAGAAATCTTTTAATTTTATGTTTAATTTTATGTTTTTTTAATTGTAATTTTGCAGTGAGATAGGTGGCAAATAAATTTAATAAATAGTAAATAAAAGTAAATTTAGGCAGCTCCATCTTACATTTTCTATTTTTGGTTTGTGTGACTACAAAATAATGGCTCCTTATATTTATCAACCAAACGTGGATGCAACCCATCTCGGCAAAGATAACCCTATATATTCCCTCCATCACCTTTCAAAGTCCTTGATCATTGATTATCAGGATAGAAAACCCAAGCTCACATTTTGTTGTCAGGAAGGATGGAGTGGATTGAAAGAGAAGTTAGAGGCCCACAGCTCTTCTTTGTGGGTTGTTAAACATTCTGTTTATTTTATTCACTACTTTGTCTAAAAACGGCAAGGGGTGGAAGAGATCAGTTTCTTAGTCTCTGCCATTGTTAGGATACTCGATTCTTTGAGGTCTTGGATTGCTAATCTTAATGGCTGCTTTGCTTTCTCATCACTGCAGGTGAAACCATGCAGCTGTTTGTTCGTGCTCAGAATCTGCACACCCTTGAGGTGTCTGGACATGAAACAGTATCTCATCTCAAGGTAATTTTTTTTTTTTTTTTGCTTTATGTGAACCTTTCATTCGGATGAATACTGTTACTGGACTAGTAGTATTTGTTTCTCCCAAATAAATCTTCCTTCAGAACTGGGCAAGGCTGAAATCATTTGCAGATTGAGATTTTCTAAATCAATTTTCAGTAATAAGTTATTGTTGTTTGATTAATACCTTATTGTAATGAGTTTTCTATTTAATCAGCTTTGGCCAAGAAGCAGCAATATATAAAAGAGCTCTTTCAGAATTTTATATTTACCTTGTATTTTTATTTTTAAAGGATATTTTATATCATGGAGATATGATTCTCAAAGCTCATATGGAATGTTCTGCTCTTTTTGTGCTTATTTCATTGTTAAATCTTTTTTTTCATAGTTCATGTACTTTCTGTTTGGTCATCTTTGGGTGAAAAATCATGACTTTAAGTAGTGTTTTAGGGCAAAGCTTGCTTTCCTGTTAATCATTTTCAACTTATTTTCTGGATATTTTCTTTGAGGTTATTGATGAAAGGCAATTGCAGTGGTTGTCCTTTGAGCTAAAGTCTTCAGTTTAAATTAAATCTATGGAACATAGTTTGATAATCCTATATTCACACCAAGAATTCTGTTGAAGGAACTTGGAGGTATGGGGGTGATCCTTTTCACCGCAATTCTTGGGCAACATTTTTTCTGCACGTTGTGGGGAAAATCAGTTTTCAGATGAGGGACTGTCTAAGACAAATTGAAATGTAGGGAATGTGTCCTTGTAGCTCACAGCAGCCTGTGGCCAGTTTTATCAGAACATTCCCATAGCAACAGCTGAATCTCAAGATGCAAAGGTTTCCTCTAAGACCACTGAACTCTGTAGATAACAGAAAGGTAGGAAGTAACCTGAGATCTATTATGTAATTATTTATGGATATGTATAATGAGCCTCTGTGGCGCAGAGGTTAGAGTGCAGTACTGCGAGCTACTTTTGCTGCAGCCAGCTGCCTATAATTTGGCAGATCAAATCCCACCAGGCTCCAGGTTGACTCAGCCTTCCATCCTTCTGAGGTGGGTAAAATGAGGACCCAGATTGTTGGGGGCAAGAGGCTGATTCTGTAAACCATTTAGAGAGGGCTGGAAAGCTCTATAAAGCAGCATATAAGTGCTATTGCTATTGCTATTTATGCATCATTTTCTGAAATGAATAAATATGAATGCATCTCTTTGCCTCAGCAAGGGTGTTTCCCAGTATTCTTTTCGACGAGACCCCTCCAGTGTGTGCAGTGTTAAGAATTAAGTACCGCAGTGAACCTTGGTTATTTGATTCCACAATTTCTACTTAACATCCCCTAACCCCTCTCTATTTCAGTTTTTGATTATTACAGGTCAGAAACACAATCTGGATTCTTCTTCTCCTCCCCCCCGGTGTTTCCAGACCTCTTTGTCCTGGGAAACACTCGTGGTATAAAAACCGATGAGCGCTGGCAGGACTGCAATGGAATGTTTCTAAGGCATTTCCTAAATATTGCCATCCACCAAGTTTTTCAACATGAACTTCCTTGTAATGTCCAAGGACTGTTGGAGGCTCCCTTCCCCTCTCCTTTCCACTGGAGGAGCTGTAAATGGTTTTTTTCAGCATCTTTGTCACCTTTTATTCAAGAGCTGTTGTAGATATTGAAAAATTATAATGTTGGCTGGGGAACTCTGGGAGTTGAAGTCCACAAGTCTCCACGATTGGCAAACCCTGCCTCAAAGGAACTCAGTGAGCAAAGTGTCACTTATTCACGTTCCCGCTCTTCTTTCTCCCCTGTTTAGGCTCGCATTGAGTCCCTGGAGGGCATCGCCCTGGAGGATCAAGTGATTCTTCTGGGCGGGATCCCCTTGGAGAATGATTCTGTCATTGGTCAATGCGGCATCAGTGATCTTGCAACTTTGGAGGTTACTGCACGCATGCTTGGTGGTAAGTACCAAAGAGAGAGGACCTAGATGGAAGCTTGTTAGAAAAACTATGACATTTCCAGAGCTGCTCTGTACAAAAAAAAAAACCCGGAAAAGAAAAAAAATGTGATTTTTATTCTACAAATTTCTCTGCTGTGTTGGTAGAAGATACGGTCATGATGGACTTAACCATATATTAAGCTTTATTCAGTTAACTCAGTTTTCACAAAACAATGAAGTAATCACCTAAAATTTAGAAGAGTAAAGACTAAAATGTGATTGGCTGATTTGTGATTCGGTGTATAAGATTACAAAAATAGACGGTTGGGTCGGCCTTCCTTCCTGATAACTTCATGAATATCCCACACAGGGCTTTTGGCAACAATACAGAAATGATTTGGGACTGCCTGATTCCAGGTTATTTTTTGGACTTCCCTGTCTATCTTCCAACCATAGCAATTTCCTTATGACCTCTTGTCCAAATAACAGCGCTGCTTCCAAGCCCAGACTTTCCAGGTGAAGTTAGGTTCAGAGTACTAAATTCAGACCGGATTAAAACTCTGTCTGCTATGTCGAACGAAAATAACCCTAACCTGTGTACGGTTTGCCAGTTGCACAGTGGCAGACAGGACAGCCCTCCATAGGGTTAATGTCATTGCCCAGAGGATCCTGGGTTGCCCTCTCCCCTCTTTGGAAGAGCTTGATAGCTCCCGCTGCCTTAAGACAGTTCAAAACATTCTCAAAGATCCGTCTCATCCTGGGAAACCCCCCCCCCCCTTTTTTTTTTTTTTTGAACTATTACCATTGGGCAGACAGTACAGGATAATAAAAACAAGGACAAATAGGCTGAAAAACAGCTTCTATCCCAGGGCAGTAACTCTTATTGAATTCCACTGTATAGTGCAATATGAATGCAATATCGGGTTTTCAATTCAACTGTATAGAATGTGAAGGATGTGTGTTTGTGCTTTATTTTTATAGTCATTTATGTACACTGAAGATGGCATTTAATTGTACGAGGTGCAATGACAATAAAGTAAATTTTAAAAAAAACAAACTAATACAGGTAGCCTTTGACTTACAACCACAATTGATCACAAAAGTTTTGTTCCTGAGCAAGGCAGTGGTTATGTGAATTTTCCCCAGTTTTATGACCTTCGGTTTAAGTAAAACCCTGCAGTTGTTAAATTAGCAACATGGTTGCTTAAGTGACTCTGGCTTCCTCATGGACTTTGCTTGTCACAAGATTGCAAAAGATGATCACGTGACCTTGGGACACGGCAACGGTCATAAGTACAAGCCAAGCATCTGAATTTGGAACACATGGCCATGGGGATTCTGCAATGGTTGTGTGATGACCCGGGAAGCAGCACACACCTAATAAATTCCCAAACGTAAATAAATTTCCTTTAAAGCCTCCAGCTTGGCCCCACTGTTCAATTGTTCGCAGTTGGAGATTAAATTCTTTCCAAAATAGTCTCCAAAAGAAAGAATTACAGTCCAAACTCAAAGAACAGATAACAGAGAAATAAAAAAAAACCAAAACAAACCACACTGAAGGAATTTCCATGACAGACCAGGATAATTAATTACAAACTTCAAGAAGATAACAAGGCACAGTCCCTTGGAAGAGCACCAACCAAGATAAATTTCAGCCTCGGCCTCTGCCCTTCCCCAGCCTCCTCACAACCCCCAGAGCCACACTCCCACTCCCTGTTGGCTGTTCCTCCTCTCCCTCAGGGTCAGTCTCCAACAGGGGAATGACAGGTTGTTAAGTGTGAAAAATGGTCGTAAATCACTGCTTTTCAATGATGTTCTAATTACAAGCGGTTGTTAAGTTGAGGACTGCTTACAACTGGGTTTTGTCTGCATGCTGCAACACGCTCAGCTCCCTTTAGGCCCAAGTGAATGTAGCCAGCGTGTCTGTGACTCTTTTTTTGTGAGAGGATTGATCCCGTACAGGTAGTCCTCAACAATAGTTCACTTAATGACCGTTTGAAGTTACAACGGCACTGAAAAAAGCGACGGACGACCGTTTTTCATCCTCACAATCATTGCAGCCTCCCCCGTGGTCACGTGAGCAAAATTCAGGTGCTTCCTATTTATGATGGTTGCAGTGTCCCGGGGTCACGTGATCTGCTTTGCGACCTTCTGGCAAGCAAAGTCAATGGGGGAAGCCAGATTCACTTAACAATCATGTGACTAACTTAACAACCGCAGTGATTCACTTGATGACGGTGGCAAGAAAGGTGGTTAAGTAGGGCAAAACTCACTTAACAAATATCTCACTTGATAGCAGAAATATTGGGCTCAATTATGGGTGTAAGTCAAGGACTATCTTTACATTAACCTCATGGTCCCTTGTGACTCTCATATAATAAAGCCAGTTCCTTTGTCGTCGGGCGTGTGAGGAATCAATATTTCTCTGATCTTTTTAGAGCTGCCAACAGAAAAGGGAGGGGGGAAAGGGGTTTAAAAGAGCAGTGCGGCAGCTTGGAAACCAAAAGTGCATTCCATAAATAGTTTTCAAAGATAGTAACTAGGGGACCGAAGTTTCTGCCTCGCAAAATTCTATCTGGAAAGCCTGATTGATGACTCTGGGCTATGGAGGTGTCCCATTGGAGAATATGAATTACAATACACCCAGGGGGTGGAGGGAAAACCAGGGTCAAGGGTGAGAATGAATGATGTGCCTCAGAATCAGCTACATCCGGGCAGTGCTGGCATGTTAACTCCCAATAAACCCTGTTGAAGTTTTGGAAGTTTGGCTTGAGACCCACGATTTAAACGGGGGTAACTGCTGGAATCCTGGCAGTGGGTTTGTTTTCTGCCCCCTGTAAAATCAGCCTCCTCCATTTTGCTTTTCTCTCTAGGGAAGGTCCATGGTTCCCTGGCTCGTGCTGGCAAAGTGAGAGGCCAGACTCCAAAGGTAGGCAGTTCGAGACGATCCCACCCACCCACGCCCAGTTGTGCTTGGGAGGGTGGGGGTGTTTGGGGCATCCTTTAGCCTGCTGCTTGTCGGACCCCCAAGGACAGCTGAGGGCGCCTCAATTGCCGGCTCTTCATTTCAATTTCAATTGCTGGGCAGAGACCCTTCGCCGAGAAATGAAATGAGAACCCAGAACATAGAATCCTAGAATTGGAAAGGGACCTCGGAGGTCTTCTAGTCCAGCCCACTTACTTAAGTCTGGAGACCTTAAGGCCAGGCCTGTCAAACTGTTGCATCTGCCCAACATCAAGAGCTAAAATGAATTCTGGGAGGAGAAGCCTGGCCGGATCTTTTGACTAATGCCTGCTTAATGTTCTCTCAGGTTGCTAAGCAAGAGAAGAAGAAGAAGAAAACCGGGAGGGCCAAGAGGCGCATGCAGTACAATCGCCGATTTGTCAACGTCGTGCCCGGCTTTGGTAAAAAGAAGGGGCCCAATGCCAACTCCTAAAGAGCCCCCAGTCATATAATAAAGACATATATTTCCTCGAACCATTTCCTGGTGGTGCTATTGCTTTCTCCTGTTTGGGGCAGGAGCTCAGGTCAGGCTTTTGCCATTACTGGCAAAGGAGGGAGGGGGGCTTTATATGGAGGTGGTTCCCTGGGAATATTTTGTATTTAAATCATCATCGTCTTTTAACAACTCCATAATCTTTTGCGGGGTGGAGTTTGAGCAACTGAAGGGAGCTAGCAGAGTGTTTTTACTGGCCGGGTGCCCTTCCTGTCACCAATGCGGAGTTTTGTTCAGCAGATATATTCCCACTGTGCCCAGAGAGAGAAATATCTGGCTCTACCTAGGATCGAACTCACAGCCTCCTGATTCTGAGGCCAGAGCTCCACCTCTAGGTCACCAGCACCACCCTTTAAGATTTTGCATTTAAGTGTGTTGTGTGAATTGTCTGAAGTGACAACTTTGAAACACGTGGACTTGAACTCCCGGAATTCCCCAAGGCAGCCATGAAAAAATAGTTATAGAGGTAGTCCTGACCTTATGACCATAATTGAGCCCCCAAAAACTTTTTTATCTTGCTAAGCGGGATGGTGGTGAAATGAGTTTTGCCCCATTTTGCAATCTTTCTTGCCACATCTGTCAAAAGGAATCGTGGCAGTTAAGTTAGTAACACCGTTAAATGAAACCGGCTTCCCCTTTTGTCGGACAGTCGCAAACTGGAATCACATTCCCCCCTCCCCCCCCCCAATCACACAGCAGCCGTCATAAATGTGAATCAGTTGAATTTTAATCACAGGACCACAAGGATGCTGCAACAGACACGAAAACTGACCATCAGTCACTTTTTTCCCCACTGCTGTTCAAACTGTCACTAAGCGAACTGTTTTAAGTCGAGGACTACCTGTATAAAGAAATCTAGTGGGTCAAGAATCGGCTTTTAATAGGATCTAGTTTCTTTCACCTTGAGAGCCAAGTCCCCAAAAGGATTTAAGAATTTGAGATGCACTTTTAGCATCTCAGAATTGGATTCTTTATATCTTTGTTTATTGCTTTTATTCTGTTTTTAACGGTTAGCCATCCAGAGGTAACCCTCAAATTATGACCATGATGGAGCCCAAAATTTCCATGGCTAAGCAAGGCAGTTTATGTGAGTTTTGCCCCCTTTTTGCCACCGCTGTTAAGTGAATCACTGTGGTTAGGGTTGTTTAGTGAAACGTGGATTCCCCATCGACCGCTGGTCAGAAAGAAGGTTACAAACTTTCACGTGCAACACTCATAAAATGCATGCCGGTTGTAAGCAGCTGAATTTTAATCCTGTAAGACCAGGGATGCTGCAACGGTCGTTAAGTGAAATTTGGTCGTAAGTCAGTGCTTTTCTTACTTGAAACAGTCAAGTTCCAAACGGCCTCTGACAGAAGAATTGGACTGAAGCCCATCTTCCATGCAAAGTTTGTTTCAGCCCCAACTGCAGCTGCTGTCAAGGACACACACCTCACCCCTTAAAGCAGAGGTCTTCAAACTTGGCAGCTTTAAGACTTGTGGACTTCAACTCCCAGAATTCCTCCTCCAGTCATGTTAGTTCAGGAATTCTGGGAGTTGAAGTCCGCAAGTCTTAAGGTTACCAAGTTGGGGGACCTCTGAGATAGAGCCTATTAGAACCATTTTTTTAAACCTTGGCAGCTTGAAGCTTATGTGGATTTCATTTCCCAGAATTCTTTTCTTTGAAAAACTTAGAAAAAAGGATTTTTTGGGGGGGGGGGAGTTATTAACAGATTAACAAGAGTTGGAAGGGACCTTGAAGGTCATCTAGTCCAACCCACCCAAGCAAGAGATCCTACACTATTTCTGACATACTCAGATACAAGAGCTCCAGTACCCGTTTTTAAAGCTGGGGTTGTCTTCACAACTCCCCGAAACTCTGCAAAACATCCAAGAAACGGTGTAGCGCGGCACACTACACAACTGTTTATAGCAGGGCCCGGGGCATCATGGTCAATGTAGTTTTCTTCAGAGATGAAGCAAGCGGCAGGACTACGTCTCCCATCAACCCTCTGAAGCGCTTTTCAAGACGCGCCTGCGCATTAGGACAAAGGGAAGGTGAGTTTCCTCTCTCGCTCTCTCCGGAAATAGCCGAGCGCGTTCTCGGAGCAGCACGGGCGCCTTCGACGCATGGAGGCCTCAGGTGGCTGCGGCCTGTGTCAGGCCGAGCGGGCGCCCTACACCTGCCCTCGCTGCCACGTCCGCTTCTGCTCCGTGCCTTGCTACCGGGAGCACGGCTCCTGCGCCCGGGACTTCCAGACGCGAGAGTTGCAACTTCGGCTCCGGGGCCAGCGTGGGGACGCGGGTGCGCGAGGCCGCCTGAGGGAGGCCCTCCTCCGGCTGCAGGAGCTACGCGAGCCCGGGGATGCGGACCCCGAGCTAGGCCTCGACCCGCAGGCGGACGACCTGTGGGAGCAGCTGAGCCCTCAGCAGCGCCAGAGGTTCCAACAGCTGCTGAGCAGCGGGAAGATCTCGGGGCTGCTGCCCCCCTGGAAGCCCTGGTGGGTCGTGGCCAGCCAGGGGCCCCCAATGGTCCAGCTGCTTGAAACGAAGGATGCCCAGGACTCACAGCCACAGCGGCAGCCGGGAGCCAAAGCAGACCTGGAGGCTTCATCCCAGCCTCCAAACGAAGAGACGGCCGTGGGGGACCGAAATCATCGGCCTCCTGCCCAGGATTCGAACTCGCTACCAGCCCTGCCTGAGGCGATCCGCCCATTGAGCGACCTGGCCAGTGGCCCCGTCTCCCCCCTGGTGCGCTTCCAGCTGCCCAACGTCCTCTACGCCTACGCCTACACCCTGTCGCTCTACAACGGAGAGACCGACGATGCCCAGGTGTTGCCCGAAGTCTGCGAGACCCTCGTGGACCTCTCGGCCGTGCTGGGTGCCCAGCGGGTCTTCTCCTCCACGGGGGAGGCCCTGCAAGCAGCCCTGCAGGCCCTCACGGACGGACAGTACCCGGAGTGCCCGCTGGGGAAGGCCGGGGCGATGGAGGCGGTGGGCCAGATTTTAAGAGGGAAGCAGGGCCGCTTCGCCCTGGCGGCCTTCGCCCACCTGGTCCGACTGCTGGGTCAGGGCAAACGCCGAGTCGCCCCCCAGGACCAGCCCAGGATCTACAAGGCTAAGAAAAAATGTGAATTCCTGCTTTCCTGGGCAAAGGAGGAGGAGGAGCAGCTCCCTTCCCTGGCTTTGGAAGTCCAGAGGGAATACGTAGCCCATGTGGTCGAGGCCAAGGAAGTGGGCGCCCTCACCCAGGAGCTGGAGAAGATGTGGGGGGGGGAAGGTGCCCCCTTCCAAACCGCCTCTGATAGAAGAACTGGACTGAAGCCAATCCTCCCTACAAAGTTTGTTTCACCCCAACTGCACCTGCTATCAAAGGCGCACACACACACACACACACACCTCGCCCCTTAAAGCGGAGGTCTTCAAACTTGACAGCTTCAAGACTTGGGGACTTCGACTCTCAGATTTCTACCTCCAGTCATGTTAGAGTTGAGTCCACAAACTTGCCAAGTTTGAAGACCCTTGCCTTAAAGAGTGAGATAAAGCGTGCAATGGATTTTCCTCCCTGGCTGGAGAAGGGAAGTTTTCTATTTTCCTGGGGGTGGTCCAGAAAGAGGGAGGGACAGGAGAGGGCCTGGGGGGGAGGGGGAGAAGAGGGCCAGTGGATCTCAGCACCGGGGTCCTGGGGTTTGAAGCCTAAACATGAAGATGAGGGGGGAAAGTCAGTTTGTTTTTCTCCTACCTCACAAAAATGGACATGGATTAGTGGCAACAGTGGGAAAGCTGTGATTAAAAAAAAAACAAGTCCAGGAATCCTCGGTTTGTGCCCTCTTGTTTTGTTTCCTGCTTCCTTTTAACCTGGTTAACACAAATAGGTTTACTTGTGGGTTGAGAATGAAATCATCGTGCAATGATTTCTCAACTTTTTAAGATTTGGGGACTTCAACTCCCAGAATTCCCCAGCCAGCATTGGTTGGCTGGGGAATTCTGGGAATTGAAGTCCAAATGTCTTAAAAATTAAACCATGCTGGCCGGGGAGTTAGGGTCATAAATAAGTCATAGTGTAATAAGATGGGGACTGGGTTAGGGTCTTCTGTCCTCACTGTGTGTTGTCTTTGAGTGGGGAAGGTGCACAAAGGGAGGCTCAGCCAATCTCATTGTACACATGTAGTCAGACAATAAAGGTAATAAGAAGAAAGGAGGAGGAAGAGTCAAGGACTACTATTAAAGTGGGACATCTAAAACGAATATTCGGAGACGGATGTGTATCTAGTGCCTCTTAAAAACTTGTGTTTCCCCAAACAATACAGAGTAGAAAAATTGCAAAAATTACCTTCCAAATCCAGTAGGTTTTTTCCCCCCATTCCTTTTATTTCCTTTCAGATAACTGCAGAAGCCAATAATTCCTTAATTCTGGAGCTACTAAAGGATCCCAAGAGAGCAAGTCCAGTTCAGGTCTCCAGACTGGGTGCCCTCAGAGCTCCCTTGCTTTGTTTCCCCTCCCTTGTTCCAACGCAGTTAGTCCTTGACTTGCTGGACGACAAGTTTCTTTAATGGTAGTTCAAAGTTACACCACCACTGGGAAAAAAATGACCATGTTTCACACAACTGTTGCAGCTTCCCCAGGGTCACGTGATCCAAATTCAGACTCTTGACCACTATCTCATAGTTCTGACAATTGCAGTGTTCCCGGGAGTCACATGGATCCCTTTTTGTGACCTGGCAAAGTCAGTGAGGAAGCCAACCAATTAACCAACTGTCTTAACAACTGCAGTGAATCACTTAACAAACGCTGCAAAGAAGGTCATAAAATGGGGCAAAACTCGCGTAACCGATGCCTCACTGAGCAACAGATCAGTAGTAGTCAATTGTAAGCCAAGGACTACTGTATTAATGTGATTCAGAGAAATCCCCTTTCAAAGAAGATTTCATTGCTAGCTGCAAATAAAACAGTTCACTATTTTCCATTATAAAGAATATTTTTATTATTCCCAGCATCCACTTATTTGCTATTCGAGAGCAAAAAAACCAAATGTTTTGAGTTTTAAATGTTATTTTTTTTAAAGCTGCCATTAATCCAATCCTCAAAAGACCTAGTTAAATAAAAAAACCCTAAACGTTAATTCTTATGTCTGAAAATCTCTAACACCAGTTTCTAACAGGTGTCATTTTTGTGACACTCCAAATTATATCTCCTTTATTACTTCAGCCTGCCGATTAGTATTGCTTTGCTAATTTGTAGAGTTTCAAGTTTAAGAATTTCCCAAGGATCCTATTAATAATCTCTTAAAAGAATATTCAGCTTCTATCTCGAGCATCTTACTGAACACTTGCAAATGTGGTGAACTGTTAGGAGATGAAGAAGCATCACCAAAGAGCTTTGATTGTTCCGTTGGAAAGTGCGCAGAGAAGCGCATCAAAGAAGGTTGAAGGTCTGGAGGCTACGCTGTCATATGAAGGACGGCTGTTGTGGCCTGTTGGCCACCGGCACCTCCAGCAGCCAAATCGGGAGAAGGAGGCGGCTTGGGAGTCGGGATCAGCACCAAAGCAATTTGAGAGCTCTGAGGGGGAAGAGGGAATGCAGCTGGCAGAGAGAGAGAGAGAGAAGCGGGGCCTGGGCCGTCCGTCAGCCCTCAGGGGGAGAATCAACAGCCCCCAGATCTGGAGGTGGCTGATGAGGAAGAGGAAGGAACAGTTGGGCCCAGTGCCTGATGCAATGAAGGCAGAGGAGAGGAGAGCAGTGGAAATCTATGGGCCGGTTCCTGGGACAGAAGAGCCACCCCTGATAGCTCTGGGGATAAAAGGCATGGGGGCGGAGGTAAATAGGTGAGAGTTGTCGCGCCTGTTGAGCATGATAAGGCTTAAGGGGGGACATGACAGCAGTCTTCCACTACTTGAGGGGCTGTGTTGTGATTCACCGGCAGCAGATGCGGACAGCTGAGGTGTTGGAGAGCGAGGACTCAGGTGAGGGGCCTGCGTGGGATGCAGGGATGGGGCCAGGACCATCAGGGAGTGGAGTGCTGCCTTTGGAAAGTGTGGAGGATGGCAGCAGTGAGGAAGAGGACCCCGAGGAGCCTGTGCCCAGTGCGCGTACGTGCAGGGATGCTCAAAGAGCAGCTGCAGCAGCACGGGTGACTCGGGAGTAAGGCTGCAAGGTAATGGTCCCTCCCTTAAGAGATAAAAGCCAGTTGAGAAACCGGAGTTCTTTGCAGGAAGCAAAGAGGTTTTGGCACTCAAGCCTGGTGGACATTTGGAATATCTTGGTTTGTGTTTGAAATATTTCTTAGTAACTTTACCTGGTGTTCTTGGCAGCCTTGCACCACCTTGGCAAGGCTGATTCTTATCAGAGACAATTAGTTTGAAACAGCCTTTTAAGCGGGAAGGAACGGAATTCGTAAAGAATCCTTAAAAGGTTTCGTGTTTGTTTCCTTGGAACAAAGTTTGGGTCAGAACAGGCTGTCGGAAGAGAAGAGGGCCTTGCCTTAATCTCCAAAGCACCAGGAGGCAGGACGAGGAGCACGGGGCAGAAGCTGGTCAGAGGGAGATCCAACCTGGGACTATGGAGACGTTTCCTGACAGAGTCAGCTGCCACTTTAGGCCTGCTTGGGCCTGCCACGCTCTGTGGGGAAGGAAGGAGGCGGAAGGGACAGAAAGTGCTCCAAAGTCACACAGAAAGAGGAGCTCAGACTGGCCCTGATAGAAACACCTTGCAAGAGCTTGATTGATTGGGGGGCGGGGGGGGACAGGGGGGGGGGGACTGGAACTTAGTGATTTTGTGGCCTGTGAATCTCAGTTCTGGCTTTGCTTTGCTGTAATTCACTTGACCTTTGCGAAAGTATTCCCTTTTTAAACAAATGCCCTTCATGTTCCTGCTTAGAAGCTCCAGCTGAGACGGGTATGATAGGAGCCCTTGTTTCTGGAAGTTGTGGCTGCTCCATCACGGGTGGTTTTAAGGAAAGACTGGACAACCATTAGTCCAAAATTAAGTATAGGCCGAGTCAGGGAGATGGACTAGAGGACCTCTGAGGTCCCTTCTGTTATTCTGTTACTCTGTTATTCTGGGTCCTAAAAAGAAAAAATCAATCTATTTCGATAAAAATGATTCTGGCTCCAAAGTCTTATTTTTCCAGTCTCTTTTCCTAATCAGGAGCAGAAATCTAGACCATTGGAAGGCAGGAAAGGAGGTCAAAGGAAGATTTCCCCAGGCGGCGAATGTCTGTGGAAGAAAACTCCAGCCGTCTCGAGGGGGCAAAGTTTGGAGAAACAGCGATGAACTGCTGGCGCTTTCCCCCCCCTTTGCCAGGCCCTGCCGCTGTCTTCTCTCTCATGCTGCCAGGAAGCCAGGAGACCATCCTGCCCTGAGGTGAGTCCAGCGACCACGTGGAAAACGGGGATTTAGGGATTCAGTAGAGATACGGGACAATCCGGTAGGGGACACGCCGGCAATATTCTTGCCACGCCAGCCCGTACTTCCTCCGGCATTGGTGCTCGTCCCGGGCATCCCGATGAGCGAGCAGCAGAGTGAAATAGAGGATATAAAAATAAGGCAAGATGTGAGTGAAGCCTGCAATGAAAACAAAGGAAAGGCCTGCTTAGATTCCTGCCTCAGCGGGGTTGGACTAGAAGACCTCCAAGGTCCCTTCCAACTCTATTACTCGATTATGCTTCTATTCCTTTTCCATTTCTATTTCTATTCCTATTTTTATTCCATTCCATATTGTATATTCTATTCTATTCCTTTCAATATTTATTCTATTCTATTCTCTGTATTGTCTATTCTATTCTATTTTCTATTCTATTCTTTCCAATATTCTATTCTATTCTATTCTATTCTATTCTATTCTATTCTATTCTAGTCCTTCCAATATTTATTCTGTTCTACGCTATGCTATTCTGTTCTGTTCTATTCTATTCTATTCCTTCCAATATTTATTCTATTCTATGCTATTGCTATTGCTATTGCTGTCGCTGTCGCTATCACTAACACTAACACTAACACTAATTCTATTCTATTCTATTCTATTCTATTCTATTCTATTCTATTCTATTCTATTCTATTCTA